AACAAGAACAGAAAAATAATTATAATTCCGTAAAAAAAATTTAAAAAAATGGAAGAACATACTATCCAAGTAATCCGCGGCAATTAATAACTCCAGACATAGCTCGAGCGGGAACTCCATGTCTGGCACGTTATTTTGGCCCTTATTCCGTTCATTATATAGGAAATATTCGCAGACTTTCTCAAGTACGACCCCACTATTGTAGTCAATGATATGAAAAAAGTAGTCCGTCAGTCCCAACTTCGTGCTTTTTGGCATCCTTTTGGCATCTTAAACACTCTGGAAAAAAGGCAATGTAGGGAGAGGAGCAGAACTCAACAAAATGATAATCATAATAAAAGTAATAGTAGAGAGCAAGAAAGAAAGAAAGGGAAAAGGAAAAGCAACAAGAACAAGGAACAGAAACCAACTTCATATTCTCGAAAACACAGCGACCAGTGACGGCTTCAGAGAAGTTGCCTAAAATTAAAGGAGATCAGGATTCGGGATTTTGTAAAAGGACCATCGTATATAACAGCGGCCTTGGGTCAGAGGATGACACTCACTTGCTGGGTCCAACATGCGCCGTATAGTTCCAGACACGCAGGCAGCGCTCCGGGGTATTATGAATTCGAATCCATCGTTGGAGGCTAGAGTGACGAACTCTGGCGGCGAGGGTTTTGTGCTGGTCATGGTGAGGAATTGAGACAAAAAGTTTCAAGATGTCCAGGGATATCGAAACGATGGATGGTATATAACCGGTCCCGCATACTACCAGCTATATTTATGACAGGGTGTATGAATTGGCGAATTGATCGCAGCATTTCTACAGAGTTATTCCTAGCAGTATCCATAGCAGCAGCAGCTCAAGTTCGCTGCCGAGTCAGGTGACCTGGTTCCTTCAACTCCATACTACTCGTTTCTCTACACATATACTACTAGTATATATCCGTACAGTAGTAATATATGTGTGGTAATAGGAAGGTTCCATAATCTGTCGGCAGGCATATTTTAAATAAATCAACTGACAGCAACTAACAACAACAACCGTCAACCACTGTCAACCACTGTCAACCACTGTCAACCATTTTCGCATCACTTACTACTAAGCCCATCAACAGCCTAAACTGGGCAAAGGAAATGAACAAACACTTCGCTATGACCATGAAATCAGCAAGGAAGCTGAAACTTTGAATGGTTCACCCGAAACGTTCACCGTCAGATGAGTCTTGGATTATTTATAGAGTCTCAATCATCGAGGAGCAAAATTCTTAGTCTTATGGGGCCCAGTTCACACCCCCGTTTTGTACCTTTCAAAACTCTATGCTCTCATACTGTCAGGATCCTATATCCTGGTATACATCCAGACTTAGCAGGATGCCTGGTCGCGTCAATGACTCGCCGGTATGCTGCGAATCTTCACTCAGGGAGCTCCCATCTTCCAACATCGTCGGACGTCACTTCTGTTTCCCCCCCCGAACAAGATCAAAGAAGCATCAAGGATTCAACGAAGTCGGACTCGCGATTTCATAAGATTCCGTCCTACCAATTTCATCAGGAGAACTATCCCAGCCCCCCAAACATAGGCAATGCTGACAAAGTCGCCTGTGAGTGGTGCTCTCCTTCTCTCACACCAGGACTCCTCTAGAGCCTAGCAATTAGAGGTACAGTATAAATCTTACTTCCCCCCCTCCACCCTCCAATCTGATCCGTGTTAAACTGACTCCGTATAGACGACATGTCGATACCGACCTCCCGCCATATATGTGCATAGCGCATGAATACCCAGAGTCTCATCCAATGTTCCCGGAATTCGACGATTGGCTGAACCATATGCAGGGACATGGCGATGGCTGGTACCAAGAAGTGTTCCACCTGAAGTCCTGGGCATGTATGCTCTGCGAAGCGAAACTGGAGTTCTATTTCGATTCAAAGCGCCTACTCGCTCATATGAACGAGGAGCACTCAGAGCTGTGTACAAAGCAGGACCTTGAGATTATTTCCCGGTACAGCGAGAGAAGGGAACCAACTCCAAATAAATGCCGCCTATGCCGCTAAGAAATTGGAAAAACTGCCCCACCTATCCATCTACATTCCAGGAAGCGTAGGAAGCAGCCGTTGCGAGAGATGGAAGGCAAGAGCGCCAGAGTCGATCTGGAGATGAGTCACCCCAAACCTCACACCTCCCTCGACGACCATTCACTCGACTTTGATGGAACGGCTGAAAATTTTGACAACGTCGAAGGCTCACCAGGCCCTAAGGCTTCTAAATCTATGGCGCTACAACATATTATAGAGAAAATAGGGAGGCGTCAATGGTCGCTCCCCATGTCGAATCATAAAGCGAATTATTGACACAGAAATGACGACGCCATGACACTGAGGGGTTTGCTTCTTTTTTACTTCTTTTTTTAAGGACATACGGTTGAAGACGGTACGGGCAAAACCGAACGTGGTCCCAATTTTCAGCTAAAAAGCATTCAGTGTGGTTCCAAGCTGTATTGAATCATAACAACATCTCATTGAAAATTAACATCATTATATGGCTCTCACACATGCCAGGGCAGCCAGCTTAGTTAAGACCAAGAGTTTCCTGGTCCTGTGGGCTACGCGTTACAACCCAATGGCTATGCTGACTTTTGTTGACGTATCTCTCATGCATAGAAATAATGGAGAGGGTTAGTAAGAATATTGTCGATTATTGCTGCATGACAAGCATTGAATCATGAGTGCAATGTTAATTTAATTAAATCTCAAGACTGCGCCTCCTTAGAGCTGTTCCTCAACTTCGTCTTCCCCGTCGCTTGAGGTGCTGATTTTCCAAAACAGCTCTATTACCAATTACTAAAGGGGGAGTAAGTTGTGTTGAGGGATTTCTCTTCCTAAGCTCTCGAGGTTGTGTAATCCGTTGTGGCATGCCATAGGTAGATAGATTCCAATCCTTTAGTGCCCACCCTTTCGGCTTTCTTCGAGATTTGGCATATTCTTGTCTAGTCTCCCTCAATATCATCTCGGATTGTTCATTTCCCCTCGCTTCCAAACTCCTGATATGTTGGCTTCTGCGCAGCGGTTCTGTGTCAGATTGCGACCTCGCTAGTGCTTTTGCAGAGGTTTCAATTGCAGTCTTCATCGTGGCCATGGTCGCTCTATTTTGCGCCGTGGTGATCCGTCGTAGCAACATGGATGGTATACCAGACACTAGCGAATTGTCGAGAAACGCGGATTCTGAACTGGTGGCGTTTTCCTATGAACTTTGGTTACTTGAGGCGCACCAAACGATCCGAGAACCGGATTCGTAGACTGCTTATTTCTGTTGTTCGACCTTCGAATGCTCTTCGTGGTATTTTCAGTCATAGACGCGACAACAGTGTCTGGCGATGCTATTTCAAATACCTCCACTGGAGCAACAGGATCCGGCCTGGGAGACTCCTTGTTGGACATTGCACATTCTTGAGCGATTTCTGGAAGCTGTTGTTCTATCCAGTTCAGCAAAATCATGAAATTGCGCCGTTTTGATTCAGGTATCGTTCTGAAATGATATAGGTCGGCTGGTCTTATAGAACCTCCACTGCCCTCCTCTGATCTTTTCTTCTCTTCCTCCCGCCATCGGCGGCCTTCCCCAGCCGTAATTCTCATCCCAGACAGTTTGCGATGCTGGGAGTAGTAGTACTCCTTCCACTCGTCCACTTTGGTTGGCCACTTGGGATCGAACTGCAAATAGATATCGCCCTCGATGCCCTTCTTCCTTCGGTACTCATGGACGACATGCTGGTGCTTGGCGAATGCCTCCGCCGTCCGACGATTTTGCCGCTGGAACATTTGAAAGTGAGCCCATTTCCGTAGCTGCCCGTGAAAACCCATCACCGCCACTGTACCAGGAGTTGAAAATACCTTCGTATCCTTCGGGCTTAGTCAAGTACCCCCAAGCTCTCCCAGAACGATCAAGGTGGCGAGCCCACCACAGCTCCAACGTGAAGGCTGGTCTACCATCCCTCTCTATCAGACAGCGGTAGTCCCTGTCATTATTCCGACGGAGCTCAGCCTCTAACTCTGGATCTGGACTGAGTGCGGCTTGGAGTGTGTGTTAGGCTCGAACTTGTGGAAGGATTTTGGAGTAGTCGAGTATTCGGCTTTAAAAGAATATCTCTAGCATTTGTGAGATTTAGCCCTGGGTAAATAACCCAGCAGCGGTCAAAATTAGATCCCTTTGCCGCTGCCTTACTTAAGTTTCTTATCCAAAGCTGCTGTATCTAAAGGGTGGTCGAGTGCCCTCTGGCCGGCGAGCTCCCTCCAAAGTTGATGTCAGCACTCGGTGACCTGGAGTGTATAGACCAAGAAGCCTGTTCTCACTTCAGCCTTAGCCAATGCTCTTTAGTCCAATTTTCTGGATCTGCTTGAGTAATGATCCTTCAAATCGATTGTCAGCTATTTCAGCCATTTTAGCCATTTAAAACTATTTAGATTGAGCCAAGCGGATCTCCTACCTCACGCCTTTAAGGTCGTCCGGGGTAAGTCTGTTTAGGTCTTGGGTAGATATTGTAAGATTAGGAGGTATAGTGTAAAGTGGAAAGTTGAAGGTGTAAGAGATAGTACTATTCAAAGAAAGCTGGCTGCTGAAGCTTAGCAGTCGCGGTTGTTATCCGATAAATTCCACGGATTGATCGCGGATCAGCTGATGACCAATGACCGTTGTGAGTTAGTAGGGGACGCGTTCAACCGGACATTGCGCCGGCTTCGGGGCGCAGAGGCTACAGTGGATATAGATGTCATTTTTTCGATGGTTTCGGTCGCGGCTAATTAGCGCTTGAGCCGCAGTAAGTACCAAACCTCTCGCCCGATTACTTTGTATTAAATTGACCTCATTTTACACTCTTTCTTGGTTTAGTAATTTTCCATTGTTTATATTTATATTTATTTATTTACCCTTTTGTCTATTCTCGCTTGTATTTGCAAGACGTAGTATGGTAAATGTGAAGATAATCTTCTAAGAGTCTTCCCGCTTGCCTGAAGGCATCAAATTGGGGCGATTGGTTTAGTGGTATAATACCCCCTTAGCACCGGATCCGAATTTACTTCGGCGATACGCCTGGGGGTGGTCGGGAGTTCGATTCTCCCATCGTCCATTTTCTTTTTTCTTTTAATTTTATTTTCTAATTTCTTTGATATTTTATCGCAGCATGTACTCTGTATATATCCATACACATTTGTTTAAATTTTTCCGAATATCACATATATGAGAACTCTCCCGCCGACTACAAAATTTATCTCCCTGGTTTACACGAACAATTAGACACTTGCCCTTTACACATAGAATGCTATTAATGTATGTACTTATTAAATTTACTCTGGGCAGGTGAGAGAGCAGTAATAAATGGTGGTTTATCTAAACATGCAAAAAGTTACTAACGCGAAAACCCAGGAGCCATTGTTCAGTAAATACCATTGCAATAATAATATTTTTCCATTATTATACATAAACTCCATCTTGATGCCTCCAGGCTCATCCTTATGCCATACACGCCTCCATCCGCACGGACTGGCGAGCAGCTGCTGTCGGGTCTCTTTAACCATCAGTCCACAGACTAAGGCTGGGATATCCCACCTCCATGTGCGAGGCCGACAGGCAATCACTTCCCAGTTGTCAGTTGGGGCTCTATCCCGCTGCTTACGACCGGTACAACTTATCAGATGCTTCTCGATAAGCCCTGGCCGAAATAAGGTGTTGAACCCTCTAAGTTTATCACACACCGGGTCTCCAAATCCATCACCGCTAAATGGAATGACCTGCATGGTTACGGGCGGCTCTTCGGGGATCGGCTTCGCCATTGCACGACGATTTCTATGCGAGGGGGCAGAGAAAGTGATTCTCGTCGGCAGGAGTAGAGAGAAGTTGGAGGAGGTGGTTAGGGGGTTAGAAGGAGGCCGAAACACAACACAAGCACCGCCATCATCATACGACGACAACCTCCCACAAAATGACGGGGTGAACATTCATGATGCAGCAAAAAGGGCCACTATGCCCATCCGAAGCATAGAATTTGATACAGTGATACATGATCAACCTCACGACACGATCACTGCCGCGCAGAATGATTGTGAAATATACCACTTGGGACAACACTTCACGCTCGCCATCGGGGATGTCGGAAACCCAACCTTTTGGGGAGACGAGATTAAGAAATTAATGGTATATTATCTATTTTTTTCTGCTCTACCTTTTAACAAAACAATCCCTTTTCTTCAATCTTGACACAATACTAAAAAAAACAAAAAATCCGCGCACGCAGGACACCGTCGACATTTTGGTCAACGCCGCAGGGATATCATACACCTCCCTCCTCCCTTTAACGAAGGACGAGCACATCACCACCATGCTCCGCACAAACCTCCAAGGTACCATCTTCGCCTGCCGCACCATGGCACGGCGCGTAATGCGTGCCCCATCCCGCCAGAAATTTACAGACACTAATCCCACCTTCACGAAATGCATAATTAACATATCATCACTGCATGCGACGAAGTCCGGCGTGGGCGCGGCGACGTATGCCTCCACGAAGGCAGGTGTGGTGGCGCTGACACGCGCAATTGCAGCAGAGGGGGCTGGTGCACGGGAACGGGCGAGGCTGCGAGCCAATGTTATCGTGCCAGGGTATATCGAGACGAAGATGGTTGGCGGTATGCTTGAACACTGATTCCTTGCTTCAACCTCAACCTCAACCTCCAGCTCCACCTCCAGGTCCCCCCAACCCCACTTCCAGTGTGAAAATGCTAACGCTGCAGGGTAAAAGACTTAAACCCTCAAGTGCGCCAACAGGCGCTGCAATCCATCCCGCTGCATCGTTTTGGCACGACAGAAGAGGTGGCTGATGCCGCGGTTTTCCTCGCTGCGAACCAGTATGCCAATAACTGCGTTCTAAATCTGGATGGAGGGTTAAGTGCAGTCTGAAATATGCAAGAAAATACAAAAACCTACAGGTAAAAATGGAAACTGTAAATTGGGATAGGAAAACGGAGAGGGGGTGTATTTATATGGTTCTAGAATGTGCGGGATAAGTTTTTTTTCACCATGCAAACTGAAGAAGACAGAGCAGGAGCAGAGACATGAGCGGGTTAATAACAATGGCTTAACCAAATTTTTTTTAGTACAGTCTTCGTCTTGGATTTGGTGTTCCCATCTATGTATTATTTGCTGAGATGACACCAATATGGCCACTGAGCAGAAAACTAACCATCATCCCCATCCGTCACCCTGCTACCCCGAACCAACCAGCCTTGTTCCACAGAAATACAAAATTTTTGAAAGAGCAGAGGATGAAGAAAGCAAAATAAGAGGAGAAAAAAAAAATTTTCACATGTCCATAACCCAAATCCCCAGCCAGCCCTATTATCAGAGAGTAAAATGAGAAAGACACGAGAAGGTTCCCCAAAATAGATGTGATGTAATACCACAACCAAATATGAAAGATATCCAGAGACAAAACGCCACTTTAAATTTTATAAAAGAAGCAGGCCCGCTCTTTATATGCTTCCCCCCCCCCCCCCCCATTTTGTCGTCCTTCTTTTCGCTGTCCGAAAAGAAAAGAAATAACGCCGTAGATAGGAGTGTATGTATGCAATTGTACAATATTTGGAGTGATAAAGAAAAGGGAGAAAAAGGGCAGGGGGTTAGAAGAAGAGGGATGGTAGTTCGCGCTGAAAGCTCGAGGTTTGGTTGAATAACACCGCACTTTCAGCATTTGTCCTGCATGCGATGTGATCTGCGATTTCGAGAAACTAGCCAGAATACACCACCTTTTGGAGCGGTTTGGCTCTTTTTCTTATCAAAGGAAATCCCTCAATTGAAATTCAGTCATCATCGATTAGAATAGTTCCTGAATCATCTTCTAGGATGATGGGTCGGTCGGCGAGATTGCCGTCACCACCTTCCGCTACAGACATTTTCGCAAAACGTTTTGCTGACTTATCGTCCCTGTCGTCTAGATTTCCATCTTCTTCGCGTTTACGTTTACCCGTAGTCGTTCCGTTGGTTGTCTCGGTAACCCCATTCGCGTTTAGTTCGCCATTGGTAAGGTCGGGCATTGATGGTGCTGGTTTTGGTTTTCTGGGGATGTCGGGTTCCGATAGCATGGAAATGGGCTTCGCGGTTGGGTCGGTCGACGGTCTAAAATTTTTAACCATCAGTGATTTTGATTCTCGCAGAGAGCGAGCAAGTACGTCATAAGTGATAAAAAATGAGGTCCTTACCGTTCAGACACAAGTAAATCTATGTTTACTCGAGTATTATCATCCTCCTCATCAACAACCGTGAGGAAACTGTCGTTCGAGACTCCCAAATCTTTGAGCTTCTTCGGTAGGTTGTCGTCAAGATCCGGGTCATAGATAGTACCCATTTGATTACTGATGGAGAGTTCTTCACCATACCCAAGCTGGCCACGCAGAACGTCCTCGACCAAATCGCTCAGCGTTGCTCGTTCAAGGTCAATCGAAATTTTTCCTTGCGCCACGCTGCAAACTGGACATTGAGGATTAGGAGGGCTCAAATTGGCTGTATTTATCGCACGGGCGCCTGATCGTTCAAGGAAGACCTGTTATATGTCGGGTGAGATAATGGAATTTTGAGGCTAATGAGGAAGTAGAATTACCATTTTCGCTTTGTCATATTCGTCTCTCAATACTTTAAATGCTTGCAGAACACATATTGCCGCTGTCATGGCATTCGTCGTGGCAATAGCTGGTATGATATTCCCGGCCATCTCTATCGCAGGGTTAGTACAGGAGTTTGCCCATTTATAACAAATATGCTTCAATGCTAACGTTTTATCTCAAATTTCGATTTCATTTCGATGCCGAAGATATAAGATCGGAGATTCGCGCTAGCAGCGACAAAATCGAGAGTGTCCACATCATCCTTATCGAAAGTTATAACAGGTTTGTGTCCATCCGTAGCTGCAGTTTCGAGTTCCTGCAGCCTCTGCGAAAGACGGTCAAGACTATGTGGTGTTAGTTTCTCGCTTTAAGCTAGTCGAAAGTATTGAACGAGACGGCACCTGTCTTTAAAAACTGCGAAATCCTCTGCCAAGCTCCAGACCTTTTGGTCATCCGTAGATATCGTCGAGTCCACAGCCGTCGCCTCTTGCTGTAGGGGATCAAACGATAGAGGCTGGGGAGGTTTTCTGGTTTTCCACATGTCTTCCAATTTTCGTAGACGATCTATATCTTCCTTGAAAACCTTGTTGAAAACCTTTTCGGCAAAATCCTCCGATCCCATTGATTGGCGAATGGATAGCAGCGCTTGAGCTTCTCTTTGAAGATTTGCAATCTCCTCCGCTAAAAATGGAACTATGTCAGTGATCTAGTAGACAAAAAAAATCCATTGATTTTCGACACATATGCATACCATTTTCGGCGTCTTCACTGTGGTCAAACTCCTCGGGATCGCTTTCGCTTTCTCCAAACAGCTCTCTGGGAGACTTGTCAGTCGGATCAAAGAGTTGTAATGAAGATAAGCAGAGACTTACGGTAATAGGTAGCTCTTAGCCCATACTATGCAATGTATGGGTTGGCTTGGGGTACTCCGAATTGTGCACACTGGAAATGACTTGGGCACTTGCTTCGAGTTGCAGTCATAACATTCAGTACGCCCCTAACAAAACTCGTAAGCCCATATGCCCGCAATTATGAAATCCCAGTATCCCCCACCTTCTTTATAACCTGCACTTGGCCGTTGAACCCTGTAGTGCCGCTCTCAATCAGTGGGACGTTTGCCGCTAGGCACATGCGATTTACGTGTCTCCGCGCCTCTAGATTGTCCAATGCATTGAACACAATATCGAATGACCCAAAGAACTCAACATTGAATTGCGGATCTTTAATATTGGCATGGTACGCGTGGAGGGAAACGTCTCGACGGAACTTGCTGGCGACCTCCTTTGCAACCTAGAATGGGGAGATCGCATAAATTAGCTCAAGAAAAACCAAAAAAAAATCAAAAAAAAAAATCAAAAAAAATCAAGATATCTTGGGAGCAGCACATACTAATGCTTTGGGCTTTTTTATATGTTCCTGTCTGAAGAGGAATTGTCTGTTCAGGTTGCTGAGATCTATTGTGTCGAGGTCTATGATA